CATGCAATGTAATGACAGAATCGAAAGACTAGTTATTATCTCTGCTTTCGAGCGTATTCCACAAGAGCTTCGACTACAAATTCATCATGTTTTCACTAGTACAACCGCTTATCATTTGGTTGACAGTGGATGTTAACGCTTCAAAATCTTTCAAGATAATTCATAAACAACGGACTTCAAAGTTACCACACCTCACTGAAGCACTTGTTAAACAGAGATTTAAACGAAAGTTTATAAATTCAAAGAGACACTTATCAATCTTTCTTTACATTGGCAACCTCGATTACACGTACCTGTCAAGTAATTATCTTGCATGACCTTAAACCTAATTTCTAGTTTCTAATTACTTATCTAAGCTTTATTCAGCTAATGATTTTAATTTCTAAACATTACACATACCATGACAAAAATCTTACATTTCCATGCTGTTCTCAATTTTCTTCACCAGAATATCAATATATCCAAATCAATCAATCAATCAACCGATAAATCAATCAAAACACAAACGTCTGAACAGATTTCATCTTCTTTTGACATTTTCGCTTTTCATCAAATTTACATTAAAATATCAAACGTATTTTTAATTAAGACAGTATGTACATCGAATTTTTTCAAATAATTGATACAAATGTTTTTCAGTTGTAAGCAACTGAAAAGAACCCTTTATATAAATAAATCCACATGATTCTATCATGATTATTTTTATAAATGGAGAATAACTGTAGAAAAGATTCCTTTTGTATGAGACAATAATTAATCATATTTTTAGAATTGAATTCTATCCACTATTAGATAGAAAAGAATGATTACTGTGATAACAATTAACCATTCTATGAAATGAAACGTAATGCTCAAAACCTAGCCAATCTAAATATCTAAATAAATTCAACAAAACTACATGTCGATTCTTTTAAACACATGGTCGTTTCTAATCCATCAATATTGTTAAGCACAGGCAGTGCTTACTGAATAATTATTGACTATTCAACCGAAATGACATAGTAGCTACCAAACCTGAAATCATGATCAAACTTTTTAATGTATCCACCTATTTAAGCTACTTAAAACATGATTTCTACTAGACTCCTACAGATAATCATCAAAAGTCCTGAAATTGAAATACTATGGGTGTTTTTTTAGCCCACATAGACATAATAGTCTGTGCAATCTCTGAAACACTTGTTTTCTTTACGAGACACAAAACTGAATTAATAAAGTCACGCTTACAGAATATAAGAAAAGACATTAATGGAAATAGGTTAGATGCGTAAAGCAAAAAATTAAAACCAACCAATATTGCAAACCATGAATCTACCTTTAACGCGACTTGTGCTCACCCAGACCAGATTATATTTTGCAGCCTCGTAAGCAGGCACCATATTGTGTACCATTGGATTGACTACTCCATCTCTACCTCCTAAATAAATTACAACATAGATGTGATTATTTTTTTTCAAAAATCATTCAAAATAATTTCTCCATAATTATATACCACTAAATTATTATTACATAAACACAGAATCCATATGAAGTTGCAAATAAGCTAACTACAATCTATTAAATAAAAAATTATGCTACTCAATAAATTTTAATTGTACAAATAAACAATCAATATCGATAATGATACAATAGATGCACAACATTTTAATTATACAATTTACAAGTTAAAGTTATAATTCTTCACTTTATGCACAAAATACAATATAACGCTGCTTAAATGAAGCTCATGTAAGAAATATTAAAAATGATATTAACGGTTTGTAAAGTTCATCAGGTGATTAATTATTATATATAAACATATAACTGAATAAATCTACAATAACTGATAAGTAGTAATAATTATGAAACGGTGAATTTGTGAAATGTTTCATGTTAGTGAATATTGAACTGTTTCACATTTTCTCTGACGATATAATGCTTGACTAAAGATTTTGTGTTGTAGCGTCCTTTCGAATGAGATTTAAGTCATTGGTTGGAAAAATACATTGGTCATATGATCATTCGAGTAGTATTTATTATGGCACAAGTTTCATTCATCAACAGTTCTATTAAGAAATGATATGGTTGAATATCTTCAAAATTTAGAGGCAAAACACTTAGTATAACTAGGCCAGTATTTATGAAATCACTACCTTTTGTCATTGGCGAGTAAGATAGAAAAAAAAGAAGTGAACCAGTTTATATACACATAAAGTCTCAGTAACCTGGATGAGATGTAATCTGATACACTCACAGAATGGAAACTAGTTCAGATATTTGTGAGCGCCAGATTGATCCGGAAAAAACTACAATATACTCATCACAAGTAAATGATTATCTTAGCCAACAGAACTGATATCAGTAAAACAAAACTGGTTTAATTTTGGAGATTAATTTGCATCTACAGACATTTAATGAATAGAATTCATTACAAACTCCATAAGTAGTAAAGTATTAACTGTATCTTGAATTAGTAGTTTTGAGTTAATCTGACTTGAGTGAAAAGTAAAATAGACAAGTTTATCTGTGTTATGGGCAGAGATAAGATCCACTATTCGAGTGGAACTGACTTTTGTAAAGTCCCATTAACTTCAGTCATTATTAGAAAAATTGACGCTATTAATGGAGATCTTTCGATCATAAAGACGGCTGTTCTAAGGTACATCATCTGTCTCATGATCATTATCAAGAAACAGTCTAAGTACAATTGTACCATTTCGTGCTTTCTCGTCAGTCACATACAAGCAACATGTTATTTGTGTAAATACAGTTTTGAAGATAAGGTCAAAATTTCTTATTTAGCATGACATTCACTCACTAGAACCATGCTAAACAAAGGTCAACATACAGTTGTTTTTGAACACATAAAGTTGGACTTTTACGACCAATCAAGATAGCTTCGAGTAGTTTCAGTGTGTATGGGTTTTGATGACATGTCACAACTCTAAAGGCTGATTTTGAGTTAATTTGATGACCACTCATCATTAGATGTTTTGCAATGGACGAGGCTGGGTTTATTGGTCGATTTTGAGATAATCGGCTAGGTTGATGACTGACGAGAAAGCACGAAATGGTACTATCTCACAAAATATGTCTTCTCATTTCTCTATTCAAATTTATCCAAGGGAACCACTGTTTTAAGTACAATTGTCTTAAGAAATTATCCACATATCAGTTTGAAGCATTTGATACACAAGCAATATTTCATACAACAAAATGGTTATTTACAGTTAGTTATATAATATCAAACAATCTACATGGAGTATTGCCGAAACTACCGTAAGTATAATGCATTTTGCTCAACATAGTTTAACATTATAAACTAAGCACTTCAATGTTACTGTGATAAAAAACTAAAGACCGATTTTTCTCTAATTACAGTACCAAACATTTTGTCTATACATTTCTTCTAGTAAAGTGATTTCCTAATTTTGTTTTATTCAATAATGTTTTAAGCTCACCAAACAATGCATATGACCGTAATGTTATATTTCTTTCAGAAATATTTTGCATTTATAATAAATAAATAAACCAGATGATCTTACTTTTATTTTTAATGTCATTTTTAATACATTTCAAACACACCTATTTTCTAAGATTTTTTCATGCGACTTAAAATAAAAGCGGATTTTATTATTTGCTAAATGTTTACTTAACGTACAACCATAAATTGTTCAATTCTGAACGTGTAGAGACAAAATCACAACAATTTGAAAATAACTTCACTTTAGGTGAATTTATTAATTATTTCCTATACATTATGTCAAGTGAGGCTGATAATGAATGCCGAATCATTGATAAGCTTGTAATAGTGTGACTAGTATTTACTCTTAAAATTCTTACAATATTTTCCTTGGTCAACATGTCTTTTGTTCACAGCGATCAATAAGTTAGAAAACAGCTTGAAATATCTTGCATAACGCACTTAATATTCCCGCTTCAAAACTTCATATTTCATATAAGCAACGGTACACAAGATGTTATGAAGTTAAATATCATGTTCAAGGTTGTTCACCAAGAGAACTTAACTGCAGTCTCATTGTTCTCCGAAATTTCACGCTCCTTCACTCAACATCAGTCAATGATGTCAATAGTAATAGTAAATAGTAATCTTCTAATTGTTAGTAAACTTCATTCAAGATATATTTTCCTAGGACGTAATAGAGATTTGCTTGTGGTGGTGTTTGGTTCTCTGAGAAATTCGAATGCTTCACTTCTATCTGAAGTTTGTACTGATGATGTTGTTCAGAAAAACAATGAAAGCTCGACAACCAAAACATCCAGCTCAGAGAACCAAACACCACCACAATCATCCACCTGAGCTACAAATCTTCTCCACCATCTCAAAACCATATGAGCGTGACACGCTTCTGGTTGTTCGAAAATGGGAGAATTTCGCCAAAAGGCAGGCTTCCACTCGAGAACAACTCTATTTTCTCCACGAATGTCTTCGTCAGCATGTTCTGCCAACAAGTGTCAGATACAGACCACCAATCAATTGCCCAATGGGATGGCTAGTAGCGGAACAAAGTGGAAGACATATGGCACAACTAATGATCACCGATGCACACTACAGAATCCACAAATACCAACGCAACATGGATGAACAAAAAAGAAAACTGGAGAGAATGCTCACATCGGAACACTTAACAACATTGACAAGGGCGATCGAAATGTCAAGCAGACAACACAGACAACAAAGAAGAAGCATTCTCAAGGTTTCAAAGCCACCCACAGAAGATCCGCAACCAATTGTGTGGTCAACCTTTCTAAACAACACCTAACGACAACAGAAGAACAACTGCTCCAAAAAGGATTAAACTTTAACACAAAGGACGCTTCAAAACTTGAATTCTTCGCGGCATTAGAGTCATCACTCAAGACGGCAGGAATAGGTGAAGAAACTCAACAAGAAATAAGGCAAACCATTGTACCACTAACTCGACGGAAGAGAGACAACAACCAACTAACAGCACAACAACGAAAAGCTCTAAAGAAACTCAGAGCCAGGGAAGATATAGTCATAGTTCAAGCGGACAAAGGACGCATGATAGTAGTTATAGACAAGGAAGAATATATCAAAAAAGCCGAGGAACTACTTCAGGACAGAAGTGTATATAAACCAATCGACACAAACCCAATAAAAAAGTTGGACAACCAAATCTCAAGGATTCTAAACAAGCTTGTCAAAGCAGGACAAATATCAAAACAAGATCAATGGAGAATGAAATCCAGTGGACCAGTAATTCCATGATTCTACGGTAGACCGAAACTCCACAAACCCAACATTCCACTACGCCCTATTGTATCCTTCCCCGGAACCCCGACCTACAACTTATCAAGAGAAAGTTCAAGGATATTAAAACATCTGGTGGATGGATCCAACTACTCCATTAAGTCTGCCACACAATTCTTGGATAAACTCAAAGGGATTCAAATCAACAACGACGAAACGATGATATCCTTCAACGTAACAGCCTTATTCACCTCAATAGAGCCAAGCTTAGCTAAAGAAACTCTTTCCCTGCTCCTCATCAACGACACAAATCTGCACAAATATACAAAGCTTCAGCGTCAAAGTCTTCTTGAACTCATTGATTTATGCTTAACAACGTATTTTCAATTCAACAACAGAGTCTACGAACAAACAAAAGGAACACCAATAGGACCACCAATATGAGGACTCATTGCGGAAGCGGTAATGCAGAGACTAGAAGCGTCGATTTTACCAGTAATCAAGCCAAAAATGTGAGTTCGCTATGTAGACGACACATTCGTCATTATCAAAAGGAACGATCTGGAGAACAACTACAATCAGACCAACAACGTCTTCGATGACATTAAATTCACGATCGAAAAGGAATCAAACAACAGCCTATTATTCCTGGATGTACTAATCACCAGAACTAACGTAGGAAAACTGGAAACTCAAGTATTCCGGAAGCCAACCCACACAGACGTAATTCTTAACTACGATAGCAACAACCCAAGAACCCACAAAATCAACTGCATACAAACTTTGTTTATGCGAGCGAAGGATACATTGCAGTGCACACATGAAGCACTTTAAAACGAGGAAAAGCATCTTAAAACTACCTTCCAAAACGACGGATATCCAAGCAATTTCATCAAAAAACATCAACCGAAATCAAGTACAGAAACTAATAAACAGATCATCCTACCATACATAAAAGACATATCGGAGCATACTGCACGACTACTCAAACCATTTGGAATAGGTGTAGCACACAAACCAACACAATCACTTCAATCAATCCTATGTAGACCAAAGCACAAAATGACAAATGAACAAAAACCGAATATCATCTACAAAATAAATTGCTCACACTGTGAAAAACACTACATAGGACAAACTGGACGGCCTCTCCAGCTTCGTTTACGTGAACACCAATTAGCACTCAAACGCCACGACAACGCTTCACTTATATCAATACACAACAACAATTATGGACACATTCGATTGGAACAATGTGGAAATACTAGATAGGGGGAGTGCAAAGAAAACTAGAGAATTTTTACAAGCTTGGCACTCAGGTCAATCACCAATCAACAAACAAATCGACATTGACCTAATTTATCAACTAATCACAAAAATCATACGTGACATAGGGTCAAGAAACAGATCAAACGAGAATACTTTCAAAAAAAAAGGTGCAAACCACTGCAGGTTTAAGGACAATAACAGTCAATCAAGATCGAGGTCAACAGAAGAAGATACGGGTCAAACATGGGGGAATTCGAATATATTACTTCTATCCGAAGTTTGTACTGATGTTGTTCAGAAAAACAATGAAAGCTCCACAACCAAAACATCCAGCTCAAAGAACCAAACACCACCACAATGCCCATTTGTGCTGAAAATTAACTTCAACTGATCAATGAACCTTTTTTTACAAAAAGTATGGCACATTTTTTGAAACACATACTTACCAATAAATAATTTGCTATTTACATGAGGATATTGTTCACACAATGAATGTAGTAAATTAATTACTGGATCATTTTCATTTTGTACGCAAAATAAGAGTTCAAACTAAAAATACATGAAGAAAAAAAAGAAGTTATTTGAAAAAGTGCAAAAAATTATTCATGCTATGTTGTATGTATATTTAAATTATCTTAATAGTTTAACTAATAAATCGTTAACATTATCATTTGTTAGAAAAATTGATCGAAATCATTAAAGTTCACTTGACTAACGTTATTCTGATAAAAAATACCATTGATGAATCTTCAAATCAAAATTAGATTATTTTATATGAGAATTGATAGCGAGATTAAAAAAAATATTACTCTAGAATAATACGAATAAATTAAACGATTGAGCAATAAATAAATATTTCTGATTCGTTCGTAAATCACGAGAAGCTAAGATTATGATTTAATCTCAGGATGAAATCAATGAGTTATTCACTTGTAGTAAAATATATTAAAATGTAGAAACTGTAGTGATAAAAGTTTTAAAGTAAATTATCTATGCTAACATGTTCATTTGTTCTCCAAACAGTTAGTTCAAGGGTAAGGATTAATAACGGATAACGCAAAGCGAACTTGTTGATCATCGTGCTCTTTTAGATGTTACAAAGGGTGGCTTAACAACTGTATAGTGTACAACACATGATGACGACATAAAAAACCTTTCAGTAGTTAACAATTCATCAAGAAAACTGTCATTACTGCAGAGTGTGTAAAGAAGAAAAACCTGAGCAATAATAAGACACGATATATTTTCATGATTTAAAGTATTATACTAACCGTTAAAAGAACTGCTGTTTAATATATATCACAATATAGATCTCGCAGGAAAAACTAATGCACTACATAAGTATCAAGTCTCCAAACTTCACTCACAAGATTAGAGTTATTTAAGTAACATATGAAAACCTTTACCAATTAACGGACTTCATAGTCCATATTCGCTGCATATAATTAAAGATTTGATTTGTGAAATCTCTTTAGCAAGATAGATAGTTCGAGCTCTATTTGTAGATACTTACTACCGATCGGAGTTAATAAGAACAATTCAGCTTTATGCATGATTATCTTTCGATACTAAATACAGATTTTCATCTGCTTCATCTCCACAACAGCAAAAAATACATTCTGGTTACAGAATATAGGAAACCACCAAACTACTGAAGGTGTCAACTAATGATAACCATGAGGAGGAAAATGAGTGAAGTTTTTCAAAAAAAACCAGATAAAACAAGCATAACATATTTAAAGAAAATAAAAACCTTTAGGTCGGTAGAACTGATAAACGATAAACAATGCTCAAAAAAGCCTCATAAAGAGTTTAATTTTGCTTTATTCAGTAACCTATAGAAAAACTCCAAACTTCAATTCAATAATAACTTCCAACAAAAACAATATTGAATTGCTACTATAGTTTGCATTTCTGCGACATTAAAATAGGAAGCGGTACCTAAACTTTATGTATCTTCGTCTACATGCGATATGCTCAATCTATAATTACTCGAGTTAAATGTTGTCTTACTTTGTGAATTCACAACGGATTTTTATGACACGTTTCTTCTTATGCCAATTTAGTGACTAAAGACAAATGTTTTCGCACATAAAATCATCATCATCAACAGCAACGTAGAACTTTGCACGTAATTACAGAAGTCTTAGAGACCTGGGAGCGTGACCACAGAGTCCAAGGGACAACTGCTTGAGGCCGGTCACGCACGGCCTTTTTATTAAAGGTTTTTTGAGTATTAGCTCCGCTCTTGAAAGCCCTTAGTGGGCACCCTTACCCAAGGAGACGGAAATCCGTGAGTTAGGGTGAGGTGTGACATTTTTAGGGTCGACCTTTTCTAACCCTTCCTTCCTTCCTTGTGAGAAGGCAGCATCGCTGCAGATGCTGACTGACCGAGCGAAACACCTTACTGCTGTCACACCTCTCTGCAGTCAGCAGTAAGACTTCGCCCTCAGACCTTGGGTAGCTGTTTTTAGTCTCATCGTTCTCCAATCGACCTGCCTGGCATGGTAGAACCTTCAGGAACATATGTTCCAGCCCACATAGCTCGGTTGGGTCATCTCGATAGGCAAGCCCGACCACCATGTCAAGGTAGCAGCGACGGTCGGGAATCGATACTGTACAAATACAAAAATGTGATAGATACTATTATCGAATAATTTACACGACTAATCATCGAAGTATAAAGAATAAATGGTGAGATGCTACTTAAAATCAAGCATCTAGTATTTAAATTTTCAAGAAATATGATCAACTATCCCATGTAGATTATGTACATATCCGTCTTAAACAATCCGTAAACTTTGCTAGAGTTCAGTGACTTTCTTAGTTAACATGAATTGTTCTAATTGCTTTGTGCATGATTAATCTTCATAACAATTAGACTTTTATTTGATACTAGGATTTGTGACACCAATGTCTACATCGTATTTATATGAACGCTTGAGTATATAATACAACTTCTGTTTTATCTGTGTAAAATGAAGTAGAGTATGAAACAACTAATTTGGTATGCAGATACTCAAGCATAAATTTACACTGTCCAATGAGTAGACAATACGTCAAACAGCATTCAAGAGTAGTCGGTTATCAATTTATTAGTAGACAAAAAACTGGCAGATAAAGTTCCAAAATGAACTATGAACCAGGTAACTTTCAAAATCATAGATCATATTTAATAACTCAAACAAACCACCATGTTAACAGTGGAAGTTCTTCATTTGTGTTACAACTGACCTGTGAGTCATTGTTAGATACTTAGTTTGTATAATATTTAAAGACAGATATCTTCTCATATTCCGCAGTTTTTCCGTAGGCTTCAAAAGAAACTGACGAAATGCGCTTAACATGTTCTTATATATATATATATATATATATATATATATATATATATATATATATATATATATATATATATATATATATATATATATATATATTCTGTTTCATGTCTGTGTAAACTCATCAAAACTCACAAACAAAAAGCCTTTTCATAATCTATGAGATAACACTGTAAGGTTAAGACAATCAAGTTCATTTAATCGATTGTACATTACAACTAACATGCACTAAGAGTTACCTTAATATTTTTCTACTTAGGCACAATGATTTCGTTAAGAAACCATATCAGATCGTTGTGAAAAATTAATAGACTAAACATGAAATGAGGTATTGAACGATCAATGAATAAATAGCTTCATGAAAAATGTTTAAGCTACAGAATGAAAGGTTTTATGAAGCTAATTTTACATGGTAGTGTAGTTTTAGTAAATGCCCTCCAGTTGATGTTGACATTTTAAACAGTATGTTTTAGAGAGATTAAAAGTCAGTTACCGAACGAGATTGTAACGCATAAAGGCTGTTGACTAAAACTCGAAAAACTCGAATACCACACAGAGAACCCTAGTAGTATAGAGCAAATTTTGTTGATTCGATATAATTTCTAGTCATTGATTTTAGTCACGGGTATTTGGAATACAAGATAAATAGACAGATTATCAATTTGCCTCTAGAATAATGATGAAATGCATTGCACAATACGGAAGATCATTGACATTTTGATCAATTTGTAGTAAGAGCAGAAAACATTAATCGATGTTTTTGATCCTAATAAACCATAATATGAAACAATATACAATGAAGGATGACGTTGATTCACGATTCAATAAAGTCAATACTGAGACAAATACTTAAGACAATATAGACATATTATTGGCACTGTGATGGTACAATGATGTTTATTGAGCACAAAACTCTTAAGACAAAAACAATTTGAAAAGTTTAAGCTTAAGGCAGAAACTAAAACATGAAAATGATTCAATTAAATTAATTTCAACACCGGAAACCCAGTTGCCGGAGAAACGCTATAATGATCAACATCTGTATGTAACTCTTATCTTATCTCACGAGACATGCAATATGTGATCTCAGCATTGTTCTCCATCATTCTTTTCGTACTCATATATTTTTTTCTTTTAGTTGATCTTCAAAAGCGCACAAACTTATTCATAAGATGAAAAAGGGTCGATCTTAATGAGCGATAATGCTGAAGATACATCGTTATGTAGTAAAACAGTCAATATATTTCGTTTAAAAGAAGTCACCTTTCTGGGGGCGTTCACGAACTTGAGATTAGAAAAAGTGTAGTTTACTAAAAGGAATTAAAATTCATTTGTCAATTTAAATATATCTAAACCATCAGCTTCCATAGAATTCATTTTATAGATATTTCATAATAAAATTATCAAACACTATTAAACCAATAATTATCATAATAAGTACGAATGACTGTGAGTAATGGTGATCAAGCAGAACACAATCACATTATTTACTTGATGTATATTTTTAAGTCATACAACTTCAAGAAGAAAGTAGCTAATATCGTCAAGTTTTACGTGATTCAACAACAAAAACGAAATAGAAAACATGTACTACGATAACTGTTGTCATGTTATCTTAAATTAGAATATTTTAACTAAATAATAAGCGAAATATTTAGATAACTTTTAGGCTAGGTGAAATAGTAGAAATCGGATGCAATTGTTTACTGTTTTTCTCGTGAACTAAAGGCAGATTTCATTCATTTATGTGCACTTCATAAACTTTACCATATACAAGATTTTAATCAACAACTTAAAATCCTACATGCTCATTTGATTTATATTTTATACACCAACATAGTGAAATGTATTAGTTTCGTATCGATCAGGCTTAATTTATCAGGAATTCATGCTTTTCGTGTAAGAAATTCTATCATAGTATAATTTAAAACAAAATAAAGATCACTATACAATCAAGATGACTTAATCAATCAATAAACTAACTGGATTAACAATCATGGCGCAATAAAATTAAGGATGGTATACACTGAAAGATGACACAAGCACATAATAATCCGAAGACATTACTTATATCTGATGTCTTTATCTCCTAAATGAAACATACGTATCACTCATCAGAAGCCAAAAATTAAATAAGTAAATAATAGAAATTAAAAAGTGCAGTAGTAAATTAACGCCAATAGCTCAAATCATCATACAGTATCATTTTATCTTCAGTTATGATTTTATTACTAATAGTCGACTCTTTCGGTAATGAGTTTATTAAATAGTTACTTTAAAGTAAATCAGCTTATTTTTCTATTGAATTTTGTGAAAGTTAATATTTTAAAGACTTTGATGCAGTTGGTTTTTTAGAAAATCTATTACCTATTATTTACATAAGAGCTTGTTATAGTATTCAGTAACTTAAACTAAAATAAAATATATTGAATAGTCTAGTCTTGTTTGATTGATTTGTCGAAAGTTTGACAAGTATGTATGGAATAAGCCTTAAATACTGGTTACTAAGTAGATCAATAAATTACAGTATATGAAAATACACATGCACGAGAAGGCTTTTAAGTTATCCTGATTTTCTTCAAATTAATAAACTTGATCTGTAAAACCATTTATCATTTACTTTTGGTAGACATTCACACACGATACTTCTTTACTAATAACCACCGTTTGCAATTAATTATCCATTACAATATGAATAAAGTCTGAAAGTTCGTTTTTGTAAAAACTATGCCTGTCCCAGTAATAAGCATGAACAATACTAGTAATTGGTTATCTAAACAATGATGCGTAAAGAGTTATTAAATTTGTATGTGTGTTAAAAGTCTATAGTGTATTCAAAATGGTGGTATATCCCGCTGCATATGTCAATCTACCCGTATTTGTGACTAAAAAGACCCAAAAACACTTTATTCAAATAAGGGTATCGCAACAACAGCATAAACAAACTAACGAAAAGGAGATAAAATGAGTTTCTTAAGGTTGATAACATAAAATCGATTACCTTAAAAGAAAACTCACATTCGAACTTAAATCCTTTGAAAGAAATTCTTGGTTTTTGCAACTCTATTTGTTACCACAGTATACCTTAACATGTGTTTTCAAAATGGATTCCTTACTCTACAACTCATTAGTTTGTTATCTCATGATCGATTTTCAAGCTAATTACACGCGTAAATCCAAACTAGTTGAATTGGGTTGTATAAATACAAGTAGCTTATTTAATGACATTCATATTCTTACCACTCGGTTAAAATTTATGAGCCATAAACTGCCTCTAAAAAGTTGATTAAATGAGAAACTTTCGTAAAATTAACACTAACATCTAGCGTTGGGGAATGAGATTTACACTTTGCAGATACGTGATTAATTCGATAACAAAACGGTGTTATACTCATAAGTTTTAAATTCCAAATCTCTAACAAGTTTAAAAATTACTGAAATAAAAATACAAAACTGATCAATATTATTTGGATTAAAAAATAATCATCTCAATAGTTCATATTTCAATTTACCTCCTTCAGTAAACTGTTATGAACAAATCTAAAGTATTCGAAAACAGAAAATTGATTGAGGGAAGTTCAAATGAGAAAAATTACAATGTCTTTGGAGACAAAATATTTTGCTAAAAAAGCAAGAATACGATACGACTGAGTAGAACAGATTGAAAAGTATGATACCAATACCTGAAACTTTTTCAAAAATCGATGAAACTATATTACTGACTTTGAATATTACTTGTTTGATGTTTTGAATGCTAAAAACACCCCTTACAAAACAAATTACCATCCCAAAAATATGAAGACCACTCACAATTCAGGACTCAAAATCACCGATTAGTTACAGGTTTTATTATATTTGATATATGTTTAGCAGTAAGATGAAGAACGTGCTTTTTATTCTGTTTGGGAATGTTCAACACCTCAATGCTAATATACAGACTGAAACTCGAACTCAGTGACCATTGCTTCAAACATCAAAACACTATCTACTAAGCTAATAGGCTCAAACGCTTATGAACGAATTGATACTCACATAAAAGTTATCGATCATCTTGACTTAGTTGAACAAGAAGTTGCTTGGAGTTACTTTTGAACTCATGGAACTCCACAAAACCATGGTAATCAGAGGTATTAAAACCGAATACTTATCATTATATTAACTCTCGCTTTCTTGATAAAGAGATAAAAGTTAACTATAATAATTCAACCTGTTTATAAAAGTAAATCTGGATTCCTAAACAGCCACTTTAACATGAAACTGTGAACATATGTGTTATGATTTGATTTCCATGTTTTAGTAGTGTTTACGTCATCAAAATATGGATGAAGACCTTTACTAATCCCATACTATCTACACTAATAAAAATGACATTGTTATTGATTGATAAAAAAAACCAGATCTAAACGTTGTGACAACTTGTTACCTTAAGTAAGATACTATAAATGGATCACTTTTGACCCATCTAAACTACAACAAACGCACTGAGAACCTTCTATCAACAGCATTGTTTTACCAGAATATTCCTGTTTGAATTACTTTACATATAACAAGCTTAGGTTTTTTTAATTAGAATTTGTTTCACTGTGCTAATGTGATAGTGTAATTTGAACTAATCCATATAGATATCAGATTTACGTTTCATATGACGTATGACAAGATGTTGAGCATCAGTAAGTACTAGCTTGCTTCAACCATTTTAACCTTACCGGCTACATAGTATCCATAACCCTTAAATTAAAGCAGTAACCCAAAGTTTTGTGCCTGTTCTGGACAAATTCTATGCATCAGAACTGTTGAAAGGAATACCAGTTAAATCAAATTGAAGCATTTCTACTCTAAAGTTAGAATGTCTAGCAGTGAAGTCGATGACCAAGCCATTATCAGATCAAAAAATCTCGTTGTGTTATTCTAGAGATTTATTTTAAGATCATTTACACATCTAACAACTTAAAGTAGCTTCAGGGGGGCAAGAAAGTGAAGACAATAATGAAAAAAACGAGTGGGGTGGTAAATTAAGTATATACGCATGTTGTTTCATTACATCCCAAAATCTGCTTCGGATTTGAGAACGATTAATTCAAATTCATCCCTACCCGAGTCTCGAATCTAATGTTAATGACTAAAAATAAGCAAGAGGAGGACTGCGTGAAATTTTGTGGACTTAGCTATGGACGTACACATCTAGTTTCGATCACTACGGTAAGATGAGAAACATTAAGGCACAAAAAAAGATGTGATTGACAGTTCTACCTCATATTACAGTATTGAAGGACTAAATATATATCAAACAAAATATGCTCAAAAACTCACTCGAGGGTAGTCCAGAGTGAAATGACTTATTAAGTTTTCGTGAAGACAATCGTCCACTCCCATGAGAGGTTTAACAACTGACACTCCCGGAGCATCGGTTACTAGAAGAGATCTTTTCGGATAAAATAAACATCGACTACATGTATGTAATAAAGAAAAATAATCTTACGCTGTGTATAGTGATATCACAAAAAAGCAAATCTGGTGGAAATATACGAAAAGTACCAGTAATGACAGGATAAATATTCCCAGTGAACACAACTCTTCAACTTGGAGCATATTCAAAAACAATCATATGGTTCAACATCAAACTTGAAATGTTGCAGCTAGTTTAAGGCCGTAGTTAAGTTCAAGTTCGTCCAGCATTCAAACCTCAAACTCTGTTGAGGAGATTCGAACTTGAACAATGTAATGGAACATTTCATTTATGTACAGTTACCGCTCCATGTTTATTTTTTAGTAGTTCAGAAGTCAAAAGAGTCATTAGATTGAAATTATCGATGATCGAATTTCTTATGTATTGTTCCTATGGGTTTGTAGATGGAATCCATTAAGCTATTCTCTTCATGGAATAATACAAAGCTGTAGTAAACTTGTATTAAAATATGCAACGAATAAATTAGGTGTACTATTGGATAAATCCTCGAAGTAAATAGGTCCATAAGTCTTTGACATCTAGACTGACTTCACTAGTTTTTCTGGATAAAGATGAAAGTGAAGAGGAATTCATAAAATTAGGATTTGAAAGAAGACAAATAATCCATACACCTGCACTATTGCAAACGGTTTTGAGCCATGTCATTCTAGGTCTCTAATCATCGGTTAGTAACGCCTCGTGGACCCCGAACAGATAGTCGACACCTACTTACATGACTCAGTCCACTTGTCGGTGACATGATCGATTTGTGCCATGTTTTGGTTTCGTCATACCTAGCTAACTTCTGACCAACTCTTACATGAAAAAACATAGCTTGTCGAGGCAGTCAGTTTTTGGAAATACATAACAATTTTTTCAACCACCTCAACTGATGAAGTTTCGATACCCCATCTGTTGATCTGCCATTCCTACCAAGTACCCGTTTCCTCACAGCATCATTGCTCACTCGGTTGTCCCAGTATATACGGACAATGCTTCGCAGATATCTTTGATCGAAGACCAGCAACCACGAATATCTTCTACTCTGATTGACCAAGTTTAACATCCGTGTAGTATGATGGAGCGAACTGCTGCGCAGTACACTCGTATCTTCATTAGCAAACGGATATCTCGCCTACATCATAAGTGACGCAAGTTGGCGAAAGCCAATCGACGACATAATATGTGCCTGTGTTCTAGGACCTGTCGTAGTGTAGAAATGTGGTCTGTGCAGCCACGTCTTGGTCTGAAACCAGCCTGGTTTTCTTGAGTCTAAGTATTATTGAGGCTAACAATTTAGGAACTATTTTTGTCAGTATGATTCCTCTGTGATTGTCACAAAAAGAATTTTTATCCTTTCTTATAAATTGGAACAATCAGCGATTGAGACCAGATGGATGGTATTATCCTCAGGTGTTTGTCTATCAGGAACATCTGTTCTACCTTGCTTCAGATTTCCTATAGCCTCCTCAACTTCATGAAGAATCGGACGACTTACGTCGACTTGCCACTCAGGTTGACCGGAGATCGTGGGTGACCGAAGTCTGATTGAAGATTAATTGAACTGATCCTTGAAGTTTTCTGCTCATCGATCCAATCTCCTTGACTGATGATGCAATAAGACCATCTTTTTCCGATACCGATATACCATTCGTTTCAAAATGTACTTCTAGATTTCTACAGCCGACACCAATCTAGCTGCACATTTTATTATATGCCTCAAGTTAGCATTATTTATGCGATAGTGGCAACTCATTTATTACCCGTTATAAAACATATCGGTATTTTATATTAGATCTCTTTGGAATGAACAGACTACCCTAGGATCATCAACATACTGGAATATGCTTTCGAAGGTGAAACAGCAGCAGATGCTGTTGAACATTATGTATGTATAATATAAACGAAGAAGCACTCAGAACGCCCCATTTTTAATCCCACTAGTTACCCTATTAGGTATCACTAATGATCTTAGTAATTAGATATCGGTCTCCTAAGAATGATTTTATTTGCTTAACAGGCGTTCGCGGACTCCAGCAGAATATAGTTTAACATATGGTATACCTCATGAAACACAATATTATTTTTATTACCTTGAATTTCATTAGGATATCGCATCTGTCTCTCTTCAGACAGACATAAATCTCTCGAAGCCAGTTCAGAGACTAGTAACTAAATGGATGACAGCGTTAATGCAGTCTTCTATTCTTAGGATTATTCTAACATGATTTTAGGGGAATAAGAGCGCATCCATATAATGGCACGCAACACTTAAACAGGCCAAATCGTCACAACATGAGAATTTTAGTGGTGACAGAGTCGAGACTGACTATGATCACCAGTAAATATTACATACTATCCGGTCACAAAATATAGAAATAAATCCTTGTTTCAATGTTTATTTGTAGGAGATGGTGGGCATTACATAGATAGAAGCAAGTTCTGAAAAATGGCAACAACGTAAAAAGGACGTTGCGCGCAAGAAAGTGTTTTTGGTACAATTAAACATAACGAGTAGAATAGTAAATGCTTATTTTCCACCAGTCGAGTTTTCTTCGTAGGGGTGCCCCACTTCAGAATCTTATCAAAATGTCACCCCAACGCCCCTCGAAATAGCCCTGGAAACATTGCACATCAAATAGCAGACACTTTGATTTGCACCCAGTTTCCCACACTCAGAGTTGCGCCAACTTGGAATGCTCTCCAATACGAAGTGTCCACATACCCTTTAGTGCATAGCCTTAAAAAGAGAAAAGACTAACATGTACTCACACACGGATTATCATCTTCCACTAGAACCAGCGGTGACTGAAACATGTCTAGAAGCTTGCTTACCGTTATCACTGAAATTTCCTCCGCTCACTTATTTATCTCAATTTGCTATCTCTGATTCATCTTCTTTACTCACACTTCTGCCGGTTTGAACATTCCTTTTCCTTACTCACTTAAACCTACTATCCCCAATGGAACATAGACCATCAACCGTTATTATAAAAACTACTCCGTTCTGGGTTCCCCTTCCCAATTATGTTCAAATTTTGTTCATTCTTCTTAACTCTACGAATAATTGTCACCACCAGTAAATATTATATGTCTATCTGTTTGTTTCTGAAATCCTCTCAAAAGCGTGAGAATTTTATCCCTATGATTCTCCACATTACGACTAACCGATCTCCGGCCTGGTAACGTGAGAGCTGCTGGTATCGTAAAACCCTTCGGCCTTGAATAAAATAGCACTCATTAAATTCACGGAACTGTAACGGAGTCAAAATCACTATGTATGATGTTGCTAACCCGTTCTGTTTTCTTTCTATTTCAGGCCGATCAAACACAAACGCTTTGGAAGCTGAAGAACAAGCCCTGAGTGCTCTGAACTTACAGGATGAGTCATAAGACTTTGGTACACTACCCACTCTATTTCTGTAAAAACCCCGCGTATTTAATTTTCAAATAAAAGAGTGCCATGGCGACCACTTCGTGTTCTCTCTTGGTGTGAGGTGTCAAACTAACCTTGTGTGTTGCGATTTTAGATCCTCTCCGCCCTTCAGTAACTGCTGATTACACGTGTTACAACTGGTGATGGAGGTTTCTACAAGAGAACTCAAAGCAAACTCAGATGAACCCCCGGGTGCAGCTAACCAAGACAACAACCAGCATTAGCCCGCGTCAGCCACCACTTTTAGAAACCTCGTCAGATTATGCTGCTTTTCCTGATTTGGATGCCTCGCGACGGGACGAACTGGTACGCTCCCGTTGTGTCGAAAGGCTAGAGCATGGACCACTATGAGAACATCTACTTCGAACGCCAACGGCAAATGCCACTGACTTCAAGAAAACTGTGCTCCGATTCTGTACGGCAGATAAAATGTCACACCATTCAGATGCCCAACACCATTCAGTGGTGACAGTGGGACAAACCATAGAACCGGCTGAGGTAGATAGTTTTCCGAAAGCCACAGCGATAGCACACATTCCAAGCCGGACTATTAGTCACGGGGCACCAAACTCGACTTGGAGCAGACGACCATCGTATAACAATTACCGCAGTCGTCAAATGGGATGCATGTATTGCAGGCGTTAGGCAGGGACGCTTGGAGATGT